CCACCTCCACCTCCTTGACCTTCTCCTCCACCACCACCTCCACCTCCTTGACCTTCCCGATGAGGTCACCGCCAGCGGCCACAACATCTCCCTTCTCCTCCACCACCACCTCCACCTCATCGCCCTTCTCCTCCACCACCACCTCCAACCCCTTGACCTTCCGGCGCTGTCACCACCAGCGGCCACGGCATTTCCCTTCTCCGCCATCATCACCACCTCCACCTCATCGCCCTTCTCCTCCACCACCACCTCCAACCCCTTGACCTTCCCGGTGAGGTCACCGCCGCCACCGCGACCGGCGCCGCTCAACGTAGTGGGGTCACCGCGGCGCAGCCCGGCACGGCCTCCTTGGTGTGAAGACATCCTGCAGCTGCCAACACCGACTCACACAGAGACACACAGACTCACTACACAGAGACCCACAGACTCAATACACAGAGACCCACAGACTCACTACACAGAGACTCACACAGACTCACCACACAGAAAACCCACAGACTCACTACACACAGAGACTCACACAGACTCACCACACAGAGACCCACAGACTCACTACACAGAGACCCACACAGACTCACACAGAGACCCACAGACTCACTACACAGAGACCCACACAGACTCACACAGAGACCTACAGACTCACACAGAGATCCACACAGAGACCCATAGACTCACACAGAGACCCACGGACTCACCACACAGAGACCCACAGACTCACTACACAGAGACCCACACAGACTCACACAGAGACCCATAGACTCACTACACAGAGAGACCCACAGACTCACACAGAGACCCACAGACTCACACAGAGACCCACAGACTCACCACACAGAGACCCATAGACTCACCACACAGAGACTCACAGACTCACCACACAGAGACCCACAGACTCATCACACAGAGACCCACAGACTCACCACACAGAGACTCACAGACTCACCACGCAGAGACCCACAGACTCACCACACAGAGACCCATAGACTACTCACACAGAGACCCACAGACTCACCACACAGAGACCCACAGACTCATCACACAGAGACCCACAGACTCACCACACAGAGACCCACAGACTCACCACACAGAGACCCATAGACTCACCACACAGAGACCCACAGACTCACCACACAGAGACCCACAGACTCATCACACAGAGACCCACAGACTCACCACACAGAGACCCACAGACTCATCACACAGAGACCCACAGACTCACCACACAGCGACCCACAGACTCCACACACAGAGACCCACAGACTCACCACACAGAGACCCACAGACTCACACAGAAACCCACAGACTCACAATGTCCTCGTTGTGGGTTGAGGTCAGACGTTCCGTGCCGCTACCCTCGCGCAGGCCTCTGTGATCACGTGGGGCCTAGCAACGCGCTTTTAGAAAAACGTAGAGCAGATAGGCGACCACGTGCTGCGATCCGTATTTAGATTTCGTAGACCTGATAGGCACTGCCCATAGACTCAACACTGCACCATAGACTCAACACTGCCCATAGACTCCACACGCACCCATAGACTCAACACTGCACCATAGATCAACACTGCACCATAGACTCAACACTGCACCATAGACTCAACACTGCACCATAGACTCAACACTGCACCATAGACTCAACACTGCACCATAGACTCAACACTGCACCATAGACTCAACACTGCCCATAGACTCAACACTGCACCATAGACTCAAACATGCACCATAGACTCAACACTGCACCATAGACTCAGCACTGCACCATAGACTCAACACTGCACCATAGATCAACACTGCACCATAGACTCAACACTGCACCATAGACTCAACACTACCATGACTCAGCACTGCCATAGACTCACCACTGCACCATAGACTCAGCACTGCACCATAGACTCAACACTGCCCATAGACTCAACACTGCCCATAGACTCAACACTGCACCATAGACTCAACAACTGCCCATAGACTCAACACTGCCCATAGCTCAACATGCACCATAGACTCAACACTGCCCATAGACTCAACACTGCACCATAGACTCAGCACTGCACCATAGACTCAACACTGCACCATAGACTCAACACTGACCATAGACTCAACACCCACTCACTCACCCACTCACTCACTCACCCACCCACCTACTCACCCACCCACTCACCCACCCACTCACCACCCACCCACTCACCCACCCACTCACCCACCACTCACTCACTCACCACCCACTCACTCACCCTCTCACCCAACTCACTCACTCACCCACTCACCCACCCACCACTCACCCACCCACTCACCACCCACTCACTCACCCACCCATCCCACCCACTCACCCACCCACCCACTCACTCACACCCTCCCCACCCACCCACTCACCCACCCACTCACTCACCCCCAACCCACCCACCCACTCACTCACCCACCCACTCACCACCCACTCACTCACCCCTCTCACCCACTCACTCTACTCACTCACCCAACTCACCCACCCACCCACTCACCCCCCACTACACCACCCACTCACTCACCCACCCACCACCCACTCACCACCCCCCACTCACTCCCTCACCTACCCCCACCCACCACCCCACCCACTCACTCACCCAACCCACCCACCTCCTCACCCATCCACCCACCCCACACCACCCCACCCACCACCCACTCAACCACTCACCCATTCACTCACTCACTCACTCACCCACCCACCCACTCACCACCCACTCACCACCACTCACTCACCCACCCACTCATTCACTCCCACTCACCCACCACCACCACCCACCCACTCACCCACCTACTCACCACCCACTCCCTCACCACTCACTCACTCACCCACTCACCCACTCACTCACTCACCCACTCACCACCCCCACTCACCCACCCACTCACTCACCACCCACCCCCACCACCCACCTACTCACCCACCCACCCACTCACCCACCCACCCCTCACCCACTCACTCACTTACCCACCCACTCACCACCCACTCACCACTCACCACCCACTCACCCACCCACCCACCACTCACTCACACCCACCACCCCCCCACTCACCCACCCACCCACCCACTCACCCACCAACTCCCCACCACTCACTCACCCACCCACTCACTCACCCACCCACTCACCATCCACTCACTCACCACATCGCGTGGGATCGAGTTAATCGGCAAGGCGGATCGCCAGCGCAGGTAATCGATGAATCGATTCCAGGCCGCGTCCCATATAAAAGTGCGTGGTCGATACAGGAAGTGGGTTGAAGAGACGTCGCTTCTCGCTACAAACAACAAACACTACAAACTACTAACTACTACTCACTAATTACTAATAGCTACTACTTACCACTTACTAACTACTTACTAACTAATTACTAACTACTACTAACAAAAACAACTACCACTACTTACTAGCTACTATCACTACTTAACTACCACTACTAACTACTACTAACTACTACTACTTACTAGCTACTAACAAACAACTACCACTACTTACTACCCAACTAACTAACTACTACTAACAACTCACAACTACTACCTACAACTAACCAGCTACCTAACTAGCTAACTACTATTAACTACAACTTTCTACTAGGTATCTACTAACTACTACTAACTACCACTAACTAACTACCACTAACTACCACTAACTAACTACCACTAACTACCACTAACTACCACTAACTAACTACTACTAACTACCACTAACTAACTACCACTAACTACCACTAACTACCACTAACTAACTACCACTAACTACCACTAACTACCACTAACTAACTACTACTAACTACCACTAACTAACTACCACTAACTACCACTAACTACCACTAACTAACTACCACTAACTACCACTAACTACCACTAACTAACTACTACTAACTACCACTAACTAACTACCACTAACTACCACTAACTAACTACCACTAACTACCACTACTACTACCTACAATAATGAGCAGTTACAACTGCAGTGGTGCCAGTGGTGGCAATACTACCGCTGATACTACTACTAATACTACTAATACTACCACTGATACTACTGCTAATACTACTAATACTACCGCTGATACTACTAATACTACCGCTGATACTACTACTAATACTACTAATACTACCGCTGATACTACTACTAATACTACTAATACTACCGCTGATACTACTGCTAATTACTACTAATACTACCGCTGATACTACTAATACTACCGCTGATACTACTACTAATACTACTAATACTACCGCTGATACTACTTACTAATACTACTAATACTACCGCTGATACTACTAATACTACCGTGATACTACTACTAATACTACTAATACTACCGCTGATACTACTACTAATACTACTAATACTACCCGCTGATTACAATCGCTGCTGCTACGTCTACTGATACTACTACTGCTGCTGCTGCGACTGATGTCTACTACTACTGCTGCTGCTACTACTGCTGCTACTACTGCTGCTACTACTACGACTACTTCTACGACTACTGCTGCTGCTGCTGCGACTGCTATAACTCTGGAAGTGACTCCAATGTACTTGGCGTTGCCCGTGTGGCTACTGCAGAGACGGGGTGAGTCGCGGGTCGGCCGTTATATATATACAACAAAACTCACAACACCTTGGTTCTACTGATGTATTAGGACCCTTATAGGGGTTATTAGGACCTTTATAGGGGTTATTGTAACGTTTATCTGGGCTTTTAGGACCCTTATAGGGTTATTTGAACCCTTATAGGGGTTACTAGCGGAAGTACCCGGCGTTGCCCGGGTCTTAAAACTACTCTTAACAATCTAACAGCGGTGCATACTGACTGTGGTGGTACCTGCTATGATTACAGCAGTACATACTTGACGGTGACCCCGGCGACCTCCGCGACCCCGTGTGACCCCCGCGACCCCCGGGACCCCCACGACCCCGGTGACCCCGGTGTGCGGCCCACTCGGCCTACGCGCTCTTCTTCCACGACACTCTGGCGGCCGTCAGGGGCCAGCACCCTGACGTCTCCTTCGGGGAGGCCTCGCGCATCGCCGCCAACACGTGGGGCAGCCTCGCCCACCAGCACAAGCAGGTGCTCCTCGTGGTGGTGGTGGTGGTGGGGGTGGTGGTGGTGGTGGTGGTGGGGTGGTGGTGGGGGTGGTGGTGGTGGGTGATGTGGTGGTGGTGGGGGTGGTGGTGGTGGTGGTGGGGTGGTGGGGGTGGTGGTGGTGGACGTGGGGTGGTGGTGGTGGTGGGGGTGGTGGTGGGGGTGGTGGTGGTGGTGGATGTGGTGGTGGTGGTGGTGGTGGTGGGGGTGGTGGTGGTGGTGGATGTGGTGGTGGTGGGGGTGGTGGTGGTGGTGGTGGTGGTGGATGTGGTGGTGGTGGTGGGGGTGGTGGGGGTGGTGGTGGGGTGGTGGTGGTGGTGGGGGTGGTGGGGGTGGTGGTGGGGGTGGTGGTGGTGGTGGGGGTGGTGGTGGTGGTGGTGGTGGGGGTGGTGGTGGGGGTGGTGGTGGTGGTGGTGGATGTGGTGGTGGTGGGGGTGGTGGTGGTGGTGGTGGGGGTGGTGGGGTGGTGGGGGTGGTGGGGGTGGTGGACGTGGGGGTGGTGGGGGTGGTGGTGGTGGTGGTGGATGTGGTGGTGGTGGTGGTGGTGGACGTGGTGATGGTGGTGGTTGTCGACGTGGTGGTGGTGGACGTGGTGGTGGTGGTGGTGGATGTGGAAATGGTGGAGGTGGTGACGATGATGATTCCTCCGAGTGGTGTCGGTGTATTTGGTTTCACAAGCAGACGAACTTACACAGAGACAGTAACCCTGAGACCCGATCTCTATACTAGACGCTGAGACCCTGAGACCCTGAGACCCGATCTCTATACTAGACGCTGAGACCCTGAGACCCGGTCTCTACTCTAGACCCTGAGACCCTTAGACCTGAGACCCTGAGACCCGGTCTCTACTCTAGACGCCGAGACCCTGAGACCCTGAGACCCTGAGACCCGGTCTCCACTCTAGACGCCGAGACCCTGAGGACCCTGAGACCCGGTCTCTACTCTAGACCCTGAGACCCTGAGACCCTGAGACCCTGAGACCCGGTCTCCACTCTAGACGCCGAGGACCCGAGACCCTGAGACCCGGTCTCTACTCTAGACCATGAGACCCTGAGACCCTGAGACCCTGAGACCCGGTCTCCACTCTAGACGCCGAGACCTGAGACCCTGAGACCTGAGACCCGGTCTCCACTCTAGACGCCGAGACCCTGAGACCCTGATACCCGGTCTCTACTCTAGACCCTGAGACCGGTCTCTACTCTAGAAACAGAGACCCTGAGACCCGGTCTCTACTCTAGACCCTGAGACCCTGAGACCCACTGTCTCGACTGACCTGGTTCGCTTTCCGTTTTTGTTTTGCGTCTCGCAGGTTTACAAGAAGAAGGCTGACGATGCCAAGAAGGAATATCTGAAGGCGTCGGTGGCCTACAAGGCCAAGTTAGCCGCCAAGGTGAGGAGTCGGAAGCACGAGCAGCAGCAGAAGCGTCGTCGGTTCGTTCGTACGGAGTCTCACCCCCAGGGTCTAGAGTAGAGACCGGGTCTCAGGGTCTCAGGGTCTAGAGTAGAGACCGGGTCTCAGGGTCTAGAGTAGAGACCGGGTCTCAGGGTCTAGAGTAGAGACCGGGTCTCAGGGTCTCAGCGTCTAGAGTAGAGACCGGGTCTCAGGGTCTAGAGTAGAGACCGGGTCTCAGGGTCTAGAGTAGAGACCGGGTCTCAGGGTCTAGAGTAGAGACCGGGTCTCAGGGTCTAGAGTAGAGACCGGGTCTCAGGGTCTCAGCGTCTAGAGTAGAGACCGGGTCTCAGGGTCTAGAGTAGAGACCGGGTCTCAGGGTCTAGAGTAGAGACCGGGTCTCAGGGTCTAGAGTAGAGACCGGGTCTCAGGGTCTCAGCGTCTAGAGTAGAGACCGGGGGTCAGGGTCTAGAGTAGAGACCGGGGGTCAGGGTCTAGAGTAGAGACGGGGGTCAGGGTCTAGAGTAGAGACCGGGGGTCAGGGTCTAGAGTAGAGACCGGGGGTCAGGGTCTAGAGTAGAGACCGGGGGTCAGGGTCTAGAGTAGAGACCGGGTCTCAGGGTCTCAGCGTCTAGAGTGGAGACCGGGTCTCAGGGTCTCAGTGTCTAGAGTAGAGACCGGGTCTCAGGGTCTCAGAGTCTCAGTGTCTAGAGTAGAGACCGGGTCTCAGGGTCTCAGGGTTTCAGGGTCTCAGGGTCTAGAGTGGAGACCAGGTCTCAGGGTCTAGAATGGGGACCGCGTCTCAGGGTCTCAGAGTCTCAGGGTCTCAGGGTCTCAGGGTCTCAGGGTCTAGAGTAGAGACCGGGTCTCAGGGTCTCAGGGTCTAGAGTGGGGACCGGGTCTCAGGGTCTCAGGGTCTCAGGGTCTCAGGGTCTCAGGGTCTAGAGTAGAGACCGGGTCTCAGGGTCTCAGGGTCTCAGGGTCTAGAGTGGGGACCGGGTCTCAGGGTCTCAGGGTCTAGAGTGGGGACCGGGTCTCAGGGTCAGAGTCTAGAGTAGAGACCGGGTCTCAGGGTCTCAGAGTCTCAGGGTCTAGAGTAGAGACCGGGTCTCAGGGTCTCAGAGTCTCAGGGTCTCAGGGTCTCAGGGTCTAGAGTAGAGACCGGGTCTCAGGGTCTCAGCGTCTAGAGTAGAGACCGGGTCTCAGGGTCTCAGGGTCTCAGAGTCTCAGGGTCTCAGGGTCTCAGGGTCTAGAGTGGAGACCGGGTCTCAGGGTCTCAGAGTCTCAGTGTCTAGAGTGGAGACCAGGTCTCAGGGTCTCAGGGTCTCAGGGTCTAGAATGGGGACCGCGTCTCAGGGTCTCAGAGTCTCAGGGTCTCAGGGTCTCAGGGTCTCAGGGTCTAGAGTAGAGACCGGGTCTCAGGGTCTCAGAGTCTCAGTGTCTAGAGTAGAGACCGGGTCTCAGGGTCTCAGGGTTTCAGGGTCTCAGGGTCTAGAGTGGAGACCAGGTCTCAGGGTCTCAGGGTCTAGAATGGGGACCGCGTCTCAGGGTCTCAGAGTCTCAGGGTCTCAGGGTCTCAGGGTCTCAGGGTCTAGAGTAGAGACCGGGTCTCAGGGTCTCAGGGTCTAGAGTGGGGACCGGGTCTCAGGGTCTCAGGGTCTAGAGTGGGGACCGGGTTTCAGGGTCTCAGGGTCTCAGGGTCTCAGGGTCTAGAGTAGAGACCGGGTCTCAGGGTCTCAGGGTCTCAGGGTCTAGAGTGGGGACCGGGTCTCAGGGTCTCAGGGTCTAGAGTGGGGACCGGGTCTGAGGGTCTCAGGGTCTCAGGGTCTAGAGTAGAGACCGGGTCTCAGGGTCAGAGTCTAGAGTAGAGACCGGGTCTCAGGGTCTCAGAGTCTCAGGGTCTAGAGTAGAGACCGGGTCTCAGGGTCTCAGAGTCTCAGGGTCTCAGGGTCTAGAGTAGAGACCGGGTCTCAGGGTCTCAGCGTCTAGAGTAGAGACCGGGTCTCAGAGTCTCAGGGTCTCAGGGTCTCAGGGTCTAGAGTAGAGACCGGGTCTCAGGGTCTCAGCGTCTAGAGTAGAGACCGGGTCTCAGGGTCTCAGGGTCTCAGAGTCTCAGGGTCTCAGGGTCTCAGGGTCTAGAGTGGAGACCGGGTCTCAGGGTCTCAGAGTCTCAGTGTCTAGAGTGGAGACCAGGTCTCAGGGTCTCAGGGTCTCAGGGTCTAGAATGGGGACCGCGTCTCAGGGTCTCAGAGTCTCAGGGTCTCAGGGTCTCAGGGTCTAGAGTAGAGACCGGGTCTCAGGGTCTCAGGGTCTCAGGGTCTAGAGTGGGGACCGGGTCTCAGGGTCTCAGGGTCTCAGGGTCTAGAGTGGGGACCGGGTCTCAGGGTCTCAGGGTCTCAGGGTCTCAGGGTCTAGAGTGGGGACCGGGTCTCAGGGTCTCAGGGTCTCAGGGTCTAGAGTGGAGACCGGGTCTCAGGGTCTCAGGGTCTCAGGGTCTAGAGTGGGGACCGGGTCTCAGGGTCTCAGGGTCTAGAGTGGGGACCGGGTCTCAGGGTCTCAGGGTCTCAGGGTCTCAGGGTCTTAGGGTCTAGAGTGGGGACCGGGTCTCAGGGTCTCAGGGTCTCAAGGTCTAGAGTGGGGACCGAGTCTCAGGGTCTCAGGGTCTCAGGGTCTCAGAGTCTCAGGGTCTAGAGTGGGGACCGGGTCTCAGGGTCTCAGGGTCTCAGGGTCTAGAGTGGAGACCGGGTCTCAGGGTCTCAGGGTCTCAGGGTCTAGAGGGGACCGGGTCTCAGGGTCTCAGGGTCTCAGGGTCTAGAGTGGGGACCGGGTCTCAGGGTCTCAGGGTCTAGAGTGGGGACCGGGTCTCAGGGTCTCAGGGTCTCAGGGTCTCAGGGTCTAAAGTGGGGACCGGGTCTCAGGGTCTCAGGGTCTCAAGGTCTAGAGTGGGGACCGAGTCTCAGGGTCTCAGGGTCTCAGGGTCTCAGAGTCTCAGGGTCTAGAGTGGGGACCGGGTCTCAGGGTCTCAGGGTCTAGAGTGGAGACCGGGTCTCAGGGTCTCAGGGTCTCAGGGTCTAGAGTGGAGACCGGGTCTCAGGGTCTCAGGGTCTAGAGTGGAGACCGGGTCTCAGGGTCTCAGGGTCTCAGGGTCTCAGCGTCTCATGGTCTCAGGGTCTCAGGGTCTAGAGTAGAGACCGGGTCTCAGGGGCTCAGGGTCTCAAGGTCTCAGAGTCTCAGGGTCTCAGAGTGGAGACTGGGGTGTGACGTCATCCCGGCCGCTCCCCCAGGACCGTGCTGCTACTGCTGCCACGGTGACGCCACCGCCACCACCACCGGCCGCACGCTTGCCGCACTCAGGAACGCCGCGGCTTGTCCCGTTCTACGGAACGCCGGGCGGGACGGGGGTTCTCCTCCTGTCTACCGCCACCACCATCACCACCTCCTCCACCTCCTCCTCCTGCTCCTCCACCACCTCCTCCTCCTCCTGCTCCTCCACCTCCTCCACCTCCTCCACCTCCTCCACCTCCTGCTCCTCCACCACCTCCTCCTCCTCCACCTCCTCTGACGTCATCTTGACACGATTCCTGTCGGCAAAAACAACAACCACCACCACACATCCTCTCACGTCTTCGCCACCACAAGCACCACCTCAGCCGTCGGCAGCCGCCAGGTACCACAACCACCAACCACAAGCACTAATCACAACCACCAACCACAACCACCAACCACAACCACCAACCACAACCACCAACCACAACCACTAATCACAACCACCAACCACAACCCAACCACAACCACCAACCACAACCACCAACCACAACCACCAACCACAACCACTAATCACAACCACCAACCACAACCACCAACCACAACCACCAACCACAACCACCAACCACAACCACCAACCACTAGCACTAATCACAACCACCAACCACAACCACCACCAACCACCAACCACAACCACCAACCACAACCACTAATCACAACCACCAACCACAAGCACTAATCACAACCACCAACCACAACCACCACCACACCACCAACCACCAACCACAAGCACTAATCACAACCACCAACCACAACCACCAACCACAACCAACCACAACACCAACCAACCACCAACCACAACCACCAACCACAACCACCAACCACAACCACCAACCACAACCACCAACCACTAGCACTAATCACAACCACCAACCACAACCACCAACCACAACCACCAACCACAACCACCAACCACAACCACCAACCACAACCACCAACCACTAGCACTAATCACAACCACCAACCACAACCACCAACCACAACCACCAACCACAACCACCAACCACAACCACCAACCACAACCACCAACCACTAGCACTAATCACAACCACCAACCACAACCACCAACCACAACCACCAACCACAACCACCAACCACTAGCACTAATCACAACCACCAACCACAACCACCAACCACAACCACCAACCACAACCACCAACCACAACCACCAACCACAACCACCAACCACTAGCACTAATCACAACCACCAACCACAACCACTAATCACAACCACCAACCACAACCACTAATCACAACCACCAACCACTAGCACTAATCACAACCACCAACCACAAGCACTAATCACAACCACCAACCACAACCACCAACCACAACCACTAATCACAACCACCAACCACAAGCACTAATCACAACCACCAACCACAACCACCAACCACAACCACCAACCACCAACCACAAGCACTAATCACAACCACCTACCACAACCACCAACCACAACCACCAACCACAACCACCAACCACAACCACCAACCACAACCACCAACCACAACCACCAACCACAACCACCAACCACAACCACCAACCACTAGCACTAATCACAACCACCAACCACAACCACCAACCACAACCACCAACCACAACCACCAACCACAACCACCAACCACAACCACCAACCACTAGCACTAATCACAACCACCAACCACAACCACCAACCACAACCACCAACCACAACCACCAACCACAACCACCAACCACAACCACCAACCACTAGCACTAATCACAACCACCAACCACAACCACCAACCACAACCACCAACCACAACCACCAACCACTAGCACTAATCACAACCACCAACCACAACCACCAACCACAACCACCAACCACAACCACCAACCAAACACCAACCACAACCACCAACCACTAGCACTAATCACAACCACCAACCACAACCACTAATCACAACCACCAACCACAACCACTAATCACAACCAAACCACTAGCACTAATCACAACCACCAACCACAAGCACTAATCACAACCACCAACCACAACCACCAACCACAACCACTAATCACAACCACCAACCACTAGCACTAATCACAACCACCAACCACAACCACCACCGCCCTTGGCTTGTCAAGCAATCGCTCACAAACTCACTCACTCAATTTGTCAGTCTGTGGGTCTCTACTGTGTGAGTAGTCTGTGGGTCTCTACTGTGTGAGTAGTCTGTGGGTCTCTACTGTGTGAGTAGTCTGTGGGTCTCTACTGTGTGAGTAGCCTGTGGGTCTCTACTGTGTGAGTAGTCTGTGGGTCTCTACTGTGTGAGTAGTCTGTGGGTCTCTACTGTGTGAGTAGTCTGTGGGTCTCTACTGTGAGTAGTCTGTG